TTTTGCTCTTGGCATTTTAATTATGATGTGTCTTGGTGTGGTCCTCTTTGGATTCCTTTTGTTTGGGGTTCTCTGCGCTTCCTGGACCTGTAGGTCTATTTCTTTCACCAGGTGGGGGAAGTTTTCTGTCATTATTTCTTTAAATAGGTTTTCAATATCTTGCTCTCTCTCATCCTCTGGCACCCCTATAATTCTGATGTTGGTGCGCTTGAAGCTGTCCCAGAGGCTCCTTACACTATCTTCATATTTTCGGATTCTTTTTTCATTTTGCTTTTCCAGTTGGGTGTTTTTTGCTTCTTCGCATTTCGAATCTTTGACTTGATTCTTGTGCTCCTCTGGCCTGCTGTTGGGTGTCTGTATAATATTCTTTATTTCAGTCAGTGTATGCTTAATTTCTAGTTGGTTCTTTATCACAACATCGAGGGTCTCATTAGATTTCTTGAGGATCTCACTACATTTATCAGCGGTCTGACCAGTCTTTTCGAGGGCCTTACTAAGTTTATCGGCAGCTTCTAGACAGTTCTTAAGAGACCTTAAAAGTGTGGTTCTGAACTCAATATCCTCCATTGACAGTTTTGTCCTGTTTCTTTGTCTCCGCATTTTTTATGCTTTCTTGGTGCACCCCCTAGTGGTCTTTGTCCGCAGTCTTGTTGCCTTTAAGCCTTGATTGATGTCGGCAATACCGGGGTGATTTGACCTCCAGGCTAACTGGCTATGATAGTCTGCTGTGTCTGTAGTGGGAGGGCTTCTGTGCTGGATCTCTAGGGCGGTGCTAATCTAGCGTTTGCCTGAGGCTATCCGGCAAATGGTGCTGTGCAGGGCTTGGGCGGGGCGGGTCCCCGGGGATCTACAGGGCGGGCGGAACAAGCAGTTATGGCGACTCTCAGTTCCTTCCCCAGGGGCTCTGCCTCTCAGAGCCCCAGCAATGGCTGCAAACCTCGGAGAGAAAGCTGCCTTCGAGTTCCGACCGAAGCCAGACAGTCCCGTTTCTCCCGTTTGAGTCTCGGTCCCCAGAGACTTGCCAGGATCTGGAGCTCAGAGTCTGAAACTCCCTCCCGATTGAAAACAACAACCGTGCCCTCCGCCGCCAGCCCGCTCCGCGCGCACACTCCGCACCTGAGTATTTCACTTCAGCACTGCGCCTCCTCTGAGTCTGGGTATGATATTCTCTTTGGAGTGAAAAGTTCTTAATAAATATGAATATGATGCTTGTAAACTTATTGTTTTCTGAGCTAATCAACTCCTATAATAAATGATGAATAAAGGCCAGACTTCAGTGTTCTTGTATATTCAGTGCTTGGTTTAGCCTCTCAGTCCACCCAGACCACTGGCCAGCGAGCCACCCATCACTTAACGACCAGAAGAAATAATTGTCATTAGGCAATTTTGTTGCTAGCCAAACATCAGAGTGCCCTCCTACAGTTTTCAATGGTCTAGCGCCTATTGCACACCTAGCCTATGTGGTACAACCTATGCTCCTGGGCTACACGCCTGTACAGCATGTTACTGTACAAAACAATACCAGAGTAAATCAAGCACAGTGCGTGAGGCTGCTGCTGGTGTTACACAGCATACTGTTCTATAGCAAACGTTTTTATAAGTAGGAAGAGTACACCCTATTCCAGCCGGCATGGCTCAGTGATTGAGCATCAACCTATGAACCAGGAGGTCACGGTTTGATTCCCAGTCAGGGCACATGCCCAGGTTTCGAGCCTGATCCCCAGTGTGGCATGTGCAGGAGGCAGCCAATCAATGATTCTCTCTCATCATTGATGTTTCCACCTCTCTCCTCCTCTCCCTTCCTTTCTAAAATATATAAAAAAAATATTTAAAAAAGGAAGCGTACACCCTAAAATAATGATAAAATGTAGACTATAGTATATACATAAATCAGCAACATTGTTGTTAATTATCATGATCAAGTTTTATGTACTGTACATAATTGTGTGTGCTGTACTTTTATGCAGTAGTAGGTGTGTTTACACCACTACTGCATAAAAGTAGTATGTTGAGGCCTTACAATGTTACAAAGGCTACCACGACACAACTACAGCCTACACTAGACAGTAGTTTTTCAACTCCATTATAATCTTACTAGAGGCCCGATGCACAAAATTCGTGCAAGAGTAGGTCTTCCTTCCCCCAGCTGCTGGCACCAGCTTCCCTCTGGCACCCGGGACCCAGGCTTCCCTCAGAGCCCGGCTTTGTCTAGAAGGTCATCCAGAAGGACGTCTGGAAGGATGTCCTGTCTAATTAGCATATTACTCTTTTATTATTATAGATGGGACCACCATCAGATACTTGGTCTGTTGTTGACCAAAACATCATCGTGCAGTGCATGTCTGTATAGACGGGGCTGCATTTTATATTTGGCCCCAAAATACTCTTGGTTTGCAAACTGGTCAGGAACCTCCCAGGTGTGATCGGAAACCAGCCCTATTCAGGGAGGGCAGGAAGAAATGGAAGAAAGGCAGACTACCCAGATTGGTGAGTGACAGGTTTCAAAAGCAACCAGTCTTAGACCACACAAGATGAGTAGATCTTCACACAGCCCACCAAATCCTAAAGATTTACATGGAGTCCTTAAAGGGGTTCAGTCATACTGAACACAAGAGGCCTTCAGTGGGGTCAGTCATATATACCATTAAGATGGTCTCAACACCACATTTCTGTCTCAGTGCTGTAAGCATGGGGCAGCTTCTGGGAACCGAAAGATAAGCTGAATGCACATTCCAAGGAAAGGGGAGGGGATGGAGAGGGGTCCCGCTCTCGGGTCAACCAGAGGTCACATCCTCTCCATGACCTCCCCCAACAAGTACAGAACTCAATATTAAAAACCTACCCATATGTCTGAAGATGAGACCATGTGTAGATAAAGGGACATTAAAAAATGTTAAGGATTACCCAGGTCACAAAGCACCTCGCACATGCCAGGGGATGACTGCAAGTCTGGCTCGCTGGTTGGCTGCACATGCGTGTGGGATGCACGTTGTCAGCAGTGGGGGCAATCCCAGTGGGTCCTGGAGCTGGATATACAGCTAGAACTAAGATTACAGTCCCTGCCCTTAGAGGACTTAGGGTCTAGGGTGCTTAGACTATCATGAACACAATTAAGTCTATTAAATGTTGACATAGAATCAAACTGTTCATAGCAAGATACTCATTAAAGTACTAGGACGTGTAAGAACTAGATTTCTAGGTAGGGGAGGGTTGGGGTAAGGAGGAGAGATCAACCAAAGACTTGTATGCATGCATATAAGCCTAACCAATGGACACAGACAACAGGGGGGTGAGGGCATAAGTGGGGGGGTTGGGGGGGCAATGGGGCGATAAGGACACATATGTAATACCTTAATCAATAAAGAAAAAAAAGAACTAGATTTCTAAAAAAGTGAACAAGGAGAAAAATAGTCATACATTGTTTAGGTCTATATAGTCTCTTTTATGGTACTGATAGGTACTGTACACTTGATGTGTCTTCTGACTATATGTGTGGTACCAAAATTAATAAGTAGATGAATTCTAAGAGGCAAATGCCCACCTATAGTTAATGCAATTAGCAATTTTCCCCATTCATTTAACTAACATTTATCAGTGTAAACTGTGTGTCAAACTCAATGTGTCAAAAGGGGAAGGCAAACATGTATGTGGAACAATAATGGAACTCAATTTTGATTCGTGTAAATCAGTGGTTAAGAGCTCAAACAAGAAGTGTGACCTTGGTCGAGTGACTTAATCTTTCTGAGCCTCAGTTTCCTCCACTATGAGCTAATAATAATAATAATAATAATAATAATAATAATGGCATCTTTTTTAAAAAAATATGTTTTATTGATTTTTTACAGAGAGGAAAGGAGAGAGATAGAGAGTTAGAAACATCGATGAGAGAGAAACATCAATCAGCTGCCTCCTGCACACTCCCCACTGGGGATGTGCCCGCAACCAAGGTACATGCCCTTGACTGGAATTGAACCTGGGACCCTTGAGTCCGCAGGCCAACGCTCTATCCACTGAGCCAAACCAGTCAGGGCAATAATGGCATCTTATGAGGCTATTTGAATACTTAATGGGATGACCATGTTTATGGACTGCCTGGCTTAGTTAGCATCTGGTCCGTGTAAGTCCTTAACAAGTTTCAGCAATTTTTCTGTCCCACATTCATAGAAGTCTAAGAGGTTCAGAGCTCAGGCTACTGCATACCCAGAAGATAAATTCAAAACAAAGCAGCCAAGCGGTACAAAATATATGAGTCTTGCTCGAGACCATAGAGCAGAAGGACTGGTCCTGCCTGTGGAGTGTAGGGGAAAAATCCGGAAGAAATAGTTAAACCAACTACACAAATGCTTTTCCAAATGCTGTCCATAAATATTTACTTGGAGACTTGAAGCGAAGCTTTCACTCCTCTACCTGCTGACATTCCCATATATGCTGTGGATCCTCAGTCTGGTCTCTTCTTCAAAGAGCATCTTAGCTTCTATTTTAAGGCCTGGCTAACCTTTAATGAGGAGGATTACCACAGGTGTCTTAGTGCTGGCTTTTATTATTTAGAGCTGACAGGCGAGAAGGGAGGGAGGAGTTTGCTGCCTTGAGACATTCTTCTAGAATGCTCCTAGGACTGCCACAGCATTTCCCCCTCCAAAGGAAACTAGATCTCCTCCAGCAGAGCCGAGAACAAGGGCCTCTCTGGAATTTGAATGCCACGATGATTTTATTCATTTATTATTTACTCATTTCCATGATGTGTATCTTGTGTTTATTACATAACACAACCCATGAACTGGAAGCAGCTTTTCAATGAAAAAGAATCCTCAAAGTAAAACCCTGAGAAATCATGAGACAGAAGAGAGCTAACCTCTCTTTCTGCCTTTCCCTGTATACGGTGTAACTCTATTTTACAAAGTAATTCTGACCACATTCGTTTTGGAAAAATTATCTCAGTATAATTTTATTGCTGATCTGAATTTGACCTCCATTTCCGTGTTTTCTCTTTCCTTAAACAGAACGCTACAACACTTCATGTAACTGTTCAAGATGATAATAGCATCATTGTCTCTTTAGAAGCTTCAGATGTCACGAGTCCATCATCTGTCTATGTTGTGAAGATAACTGGTGAATCAAAAAATTACTTCTTCGAATTTGAGCAATTCAACAGCACTTTGCCTCCTCCTGTTATCTTTAAGGCCAATTATCATGGCCTTTATTATATAATCACTCTGGTAGTGGTAAATGGACATGCGGTTACCAAGCCATCCAGATCAATCACTGTGTTAACAAGTAAGCATCATGTGTAATATTGTCCTTTGAGTTTCTTCTTTGTCTGTATTCTCACAGGGTTCTAGTTAAAAGAGAAATCAGCGCAGAATGGCAAGCTCAAGGGAAGGCAAATCACAAAAATTCAAAGTTCTGCTTTATATTAAGAATACAGTTTCTTGCTACAGTTTGATAAAGTTTCACTATTATATTTTGATTAAAAACTGTTTAAAACTAAAAGAAAGTAAGCCTTAATGAGGTATTTTAAGACTGAATGACAATTTTAGATTCATAATTGGACCATGTAATTTTCTACTATGTAACTTAAAAGAGTATGATCATAATTAAGCTATTTGTCTTCCATAACATTTATTCTCATATTAAGCAATTTGGTTTTTGAGACATTAATTTATACTCATAGTTAGCCTGCTCAAATTCTATTTTACATTTCTAGCTGAGAGAGAGAAAAAGATACCATTATTTATCAGTCACTATTCCCCACCTCATCTTCATAATAGCCTTGGCATCCAGTGCCCAAGAAAAATGCCAGGGGAAAAAATCACTGGCATTTTAACCTTCAGTGGCCCATGCCTTAAAAAGTTAGTGCTAATATTAGGAAATTTTTAGGATTGGCTTTAACTATATGTGATGTTCATTTTACTCTGACTTTAATACCTAATCTCAAGTTAAGATGCAATTCTACTGTATATGTCAAGGTGTGGAAAAAAGCTGTTACATGGTACAGTTTATCACTAGAGTAATTTAATGGCTCAACAAAATTCTTTTTGCTCATTGTTCTTCACCACAAATATTTTGGTGGCTGCAATTTTTAAAGTACCAAATACATGTGTTAATTCTGTCAATAGTTAAGGAAAAAGACATAGTGGTATTTTCGTTTGGGATAAAGTAGAGAAACACCAAGAAGCAAGAACTCAGAATCAAGCTAGAGGACATACTTTTAACATGTCTATAAAAAACTGTTTTAAAGTTTTACTTGGCAGAGTCCCAAGATCCATATTGAGTCCTAAAAATTAGGAATGGCGCAGACCCAAGACCTTCAAGGTTTACAGATATAATGAACTAATCTAGGACCTAGTTGAGTCAAAGGTAGCATTTGCCTGGTAAAATGCTGTCTTAAACAAGTTCCAGAAAAGGTGAATTGGTAGTTAATAGGTCCAGGCATCAGATCTAGATATATAATACCTATAATACAACGCCTTGAAATCAGCAGCTTTGTCTTACTCATGTTCATCCTATATAATAAAAGGCTAATATGCAAATTGTTTCCTTGGGAGTTCGACCGACCAGGAGTTCGACCGCCCGCTATGATGTGTGCTGACCACCAGGGGGAGGTGCGGAACAAAGGAAGGCCCCAGCCGGTGGCTGGCAGCCAGGGGGGGAGGAGGGGGGAGAAAGGCCCTGATTGACCTTGATCCCTGGCCAGGCCTAGGAACCCTACCTGTGCACAAATTTCATGCACCAGGCCTCTAGTAATTTCATAAGCATCTAGCATGAACCTTCTGCTTAATAGGTCATCAGTAAATACTGAATTCAATTTAGTTAAGCAAACAGTAAGAGGAAGAACCAGGAAAAAAAAAGATTAAAACACAAAGCAAAATAAAATGATAGGGACTTGCTGACTCAACATTCATTAGCATGCCCTTAGCCACTTCTGATTAGACAAAGCTGGAGGACTCACCCTTCAGCTAATGGCTCATAAAGAAACTTGTTAAGTAAGTATTTGATTAGGATATTTATAGAATATCTCATTGAAATTTTAGCACCTGCAGTGAGCTCTGTTTAAAATATTTTCTATTTTCCTTTGTGATTTCATCTTTGGCATGTTGGCTTAGAAGTGTGCTGTTGAATGACCAAAAATTTAGCAATTTTGCAGAGATCTTTTTAGTGATTCTTAAGTAAATGCTGTGTGATCAATTACTTATGTGATTTCAATTACTTGACATTTATTGAGATTTGTTTTATGGTCCCAAATATGGTCGATATTGGTGTATATGCTGTGAGCACTTCGGTCAATTTAACTATTTAAATCTTCTATATCCTTCTTAATTTTCTGTCTACTTGGACTAACAATGTTTGATAGAGGAGTGGGAAAGTCTCCTCCTACCTCTGTGGGTTTGTCTGTTTCTCCTCCCACTTCTCTTAGTTTATGCATTACATATTTTGATGCTCTGTTGTTATGTTGTAGGTGCAAACACTTTTAGGATTACTATGTCTCCTTGTTGAGCTGAGCATTTCATGGTTTGCAATGTCCCTCTTTATCCCAAGTAATGTGCTGTGTGTTGAAGTCTATTTTGTCTGATACTAATATTGTCTTTTCAGTTTTCTTTTACTAAGTATTGTCATGGTATACCTGTTTCATTTTTATTGTCAATCTACTTATGTCTTTATATGTTAGCAGGTTTCTTGTGGACTGCATAGAGTTGGATCTTGCTTTATTCCAATCTGGAAAGTCTCTGCCTTTTAATTAAAGTGTTTAGACCACCACTGTCCAATAAAAATAGGATGTTAATCACACAGCCATAAATTTTCAGGTACAAAAATGTAAACACTTTTTGAAAAGGTGAACTTAATTTTAATAACATAATGTAATCCATTGTATTAATAATATTATTTTAACATAATCAATATAAAAACAAAATAACACTTTTTCCATTTTAAACAAAAATTAATTAAAATGAAATAAAATTAAAAATGTGTTTTCTCAGTTACACTAGCTTCATTTTGAGTGCTCCATAGCCTTATGTAGGTAACAGCTACCAATTTTGATAATACAAGTTTAGAGCATTTACACTTAATGTAATTATTTACAATGTTAAGTTTAACCCTACCGAAATGCCAAGCTGTTAGTATGGGGGTGAGTCAATTCAGTTGAACTGGGTTTAAGGCATTAGTCACCGTTAGTTCACGGATTTCAAAGTCCTCCAGAGGGAGTGCCAGTAGTGGTCCTGGGGATTTCTCAGTCTCCAGTTATAGACTTGGGGTTCAGCAAGCCCCACCCACCTGCACCACAGAAGGGCTCCATGATTTTGCCCCTCCCCTAACAATGGATTGCTGTGGCTTCTCACTAGTGCTAAGATTTTGGTGGGAGCAGTGGAGGATTTGGTTCTCTTGGTCCAGCCTCAGCCTTAAGCAGACCCTGTGACTCTAAGTAAGGCATTCTTAGCATCCCTAATCCTTGCCTCCAAAGTCTACCTTAAAACTGGGAAAGGTCTTGAGTTAGAGACCTTCCTTCCTCTCCCTGGTAGCAGAACTCCACTCTGTATCAGTGCATGAACAGTGCGTCCAAGAGAGTTTCTGCCCCTCTCCTGGGAAATGATATCTTTTAAAATGGGGTATCTTTGCCTGAAAACTGGGAGGGAAAGATCTTTCTGCCCCTCCCTAATGCCTTAAGGCTTCTGTTTTGTATTCAAGAAAGGTCCTGGGAATTAAGAAAGGGTTTCTCCCAGATCTTTAAGGAGCCCAATCATCATCTACATGCCTGTGCCCCAGAGGGTGGCTCTCTTGCCCTCAGTATTTCTCATGAGCACCTGATAAGGGCCCATGAGAAGAGATGGAGAGAGACCATGGACTCAACTTGTGTCTGGGACTCCCGGTCATTCTAAACCAGCGCTGTCCTAGAACTTTGGGGAGATGGGAATGTTTTATATCTGCATTATCCAGTACAGTAGCCACTAATTTTAAATTTTATTTCATTTTGAATGATTCTTTCATAAGTGTAATTTAAATAGCCGTAAGTGGTTAGTAACTAACTTCCTGGACAGAGCAGTTCTAAACTGTCATTGAGAACATATGCATCCTTATTAATTCATTGAAATCTTAGTTGCTTTCTTCTTTTCTGCTTGAACTCTTCCTGCCATGCTCCACTAGGTAAAACCTTGTGTCCTTTCTGTCCTCAGAGGGCTTGTCACTCTGCAGTTTACTTGGTTTGGTTGCCTTGCAATCTCACCTCTCTGAGAGATGCCAGGAAAGTTATGATCTCATGAATTATTTTGCTTTTTCTTCTTCTTGTTGGGTGTCAGGAAATGAGATTGACTTGCAGCTTTCTACATCATAAAGCGGAAAAGGAAACTGGCATTGATTGCTAAAAAGTAAAACTAAATATGGTTGCAGTCTCTCCTCTTCTGTCCCATTTTTAAAGGCTCAATTACATCATCTCAGATTTCGAAAGGGATTATAGGTTGGGAATATAAAAACTGTGTATTGATGCACAAATATTTCTATGACATTAGGCATGAGGTAACATTTGGGGTTCAGCTTTCTCCTCACACACAAAAAAAGAGGGAATTCAAATACATGTTGACTAAGATTACTTTTGAGCTCTAAAATGATCGTTATTTGTTAGTTGGTGGTGTAATTTTGCCATCTTTATTTTTTTCTAATGAGAAGCTTTCCTTAAAAGTTGAGGAAACATTTGTAGTGTCTACTCACAGAATTGACGCATTGCTCTTGAGAATAAAACGGGACCTTTGTTGCAGTCATTTACTGTCTTGACGAAATAAGCAATGACAAAGCACTGGCCCTTGGGCAGTCCTTTGATATTTCTCTGTAGTTGTTCTGAGTCTGGCCGCTCTCTGAGAAAGCTGAGAAACATGGCAAAGAATAAATTTAGCACAAACACATTGTTAGGCCAGTTCAAAAGAGTTTCACAACCCTGAGGCTCTGACATCTGATTAATATTTAACTGATTGAGAACTTTCAGTATGTGGCGCCCACTTTAGAGAGAAGAATTCGTTTCTCAATAGATCAAGTGGTACATACGAACAACTGTTCAGAGATTGGGGAAATGTCTCCTCAGCCAGTAGTCCTGAAGATAGTGGCTTCAAATACTGCAGAACACACACACAAACACTCTGCAAATATGAAATTCTACCCAAATCCTCTACTATATATAAAAATAATTCATGAGCTTCTGCCTTATTTATTGCTTACATTCTCGATGCCATGTCCTAGGTGCCAGAGAAATAAAAATCAATAAAAATACCCACACTCAAAGGTGGTATACTGAAGTGGAAAACAAGCCATTACAAGATATGATAAATGCTATGCATGAATGGTGTAAGAGAGAGTGCCTCGCCTTCTTAAAGAACATTGGAGAGATACCACAGAAACATACAATCATTGAAAAATTAATGAAAATTTGTCAAATGAATAGAGAATGTAAAGTGTTACAGAGGGAAAGGGAATTACGTGCAGAGTGGAAGCATGCATAGCATGGCACACCTGTGAACTGCAAGGAGTTAAGACCACAAGCTGAGTAACAGGAAGGGTGGCTAGGAAAATTGGAAACAACCTAGAATACTTTGCCGAAGAGGTTAGACCTCAATCTACGAACAAATAAATGTTAAAAATAATTTACATTGGCTAATAACTCAATTTCTCTGTCTAGTACAGCCTGGATTCTAAGACAAGAAATGAGAGTGTGTCTACAGAGAAAGGAGTAAAGAATTAAATCAAGATTTAACCTTGTCATCACTGAAAAACACACAGTAATAGCAGCTCTGGTTTATGGCTCTTTATAATAATAATAACAACCATTACTTTATAATAATAATAATAAGATAGTAAAATATTTTTAAAGAATGCACTTGAGTTCCATTGAAAGCAGTAATTCTTGGATTGAATATGGATCAGTAATGCCTGGGCTTGGACTTCAGAATAGACAACTGACCTGAGTCACTTGTGCTGAAGCTGAGAGAAATATAAGAAGCAAACACGTATGTGGGCATTTACAAAATTCTCTTAGTTTAAGGTTCAAGTGGCTTGCAGCCCAACAAATCACAAAATAAAATATCTGTGTTCTAATCCTCATGTGCACCTTGAATTTCAAAGTTTGCATGTACTTTGATGTGCAGACTTCATACCTCAGGTCAGGAAAGACTGCGTGGACCCCATCTCTCTGCTCAGTGGACAGAGCCCCGGTGAGGATGTGAAACGGGGCTGCAGCAATGGAAGAGTTACTGCTCTGTGGCGGCTTTCTGCTGAGAGCTTTCATTTTGTTTCTCTCAGATCCAGAGCCAATAGCTGGGCTTGGTAGATTCCCCGGGTTAGTAATTAGACTGGGCTGAAAGAAACACCTTCAGATGGCTCCAGACTTCTTTGGGATTAATCATCGGGAAACAGTCTTCAGGAGGGAGGGTGTTTTTGTTTGTTTACATGACACTGAAGTGAGTTCATTCTGTAACTGCTACCGTAAGTGGGGAGACCAGGCTGGGGGCAAAGATAAAATAGAAACATTTTAACAGAGAATATAGTTCATAGTCTACATTGAAATGAGCACAATGCATGCTGCAATCTAAAGGCCTCTTTACAGGTTTATAGATGTTGGCTTGTTTTTTTAAGAAAATGCCAGGGAAAATCATAGCTTTAGCATGTGACTTGAGTCCTTCCTGGGTCTCTTCAATCAAAAGCAAAGCAAAAGCAGGTTAAGATCACGAGGAACAAAAAAGAAGTTATTTAGCTACATACTGAGACAAAGTAGGAACTCCATAAATTACTTGTCAAATGAACTAAGTCTTCTTTGGTTTCCTATGTTAATTAAACTGAAATTTTAAAAAATGTAAAATTTAAATTAAGTATATTGCTTTCCTTTAGTTTGTAGGTTATGTCTAAAATTCCTCTGTATTTTTAAAACTTTGAACCAAAGTGGGGTTTTTTTCTCTATAATGCAATAATTGACTACAAACCAAGTTATTTTTAAATTTTTCTTGAATAAATTTTATTCAAGTAAAAATTACGCAATAGTTCCTTTAGCTGTATGGAGGAGCTCTCATTTTACAAAGCTTTTGCTGAAGAGTGGGATGCAGAGGAAATACAGACATACACCAACCACAGTTTTTTTAAAAAAAATAAGCATTTAAAACGTTTTGTGATGAATTAACAGCTTGAACAAAATAGGAATAAACATACTTAAAACTTCCATAGAAAGAGTAGTTTGATAAACACCATAAACTCTAATTATCACAACTTAGTATGGTTTGCAATCTTATACTCAACATAGAAAGATAAGTGCTAAGTTTACACAAAGAAATAAATGCTCATGTAAGCATTTACCCTTGGTCAGAGTCAAATGTATTTTCTGTTATTAATATCAAATTTTATTGGCTTGGGGGTAAAGAAAAATGAACTAGGAATCCGGAGATGTAGATTCTGCCACACACTTGTTAAATTTTATTTTACAAGTAAATTGAAGGTTCTGAGTTATTATTTTTATGTTTTGTTTGTTCTTAGATTCAGGCTAATGGAAAAAATAAATATCAAAGTTATTTGAAAGGCAGGAAACACTATAAAATGTACTTTATTAATTACTGCTAAGGAGAACACTCAGCTCATGTGTACTGAGGAATTTCGTGCTCGCAGGTGATAAAAATGTGTGTAAAGTTTTGATAGGCACACTCCTTGGTACTCCCAAGTATGGATAATGGCCTATCTCCCTTTTGCCCCATTTCCCTTTCTTCATTTACTCTTTTTCTGCAGAACCTCTACCTGTAACTAGTGTTTCAATATATGACTATAAACCTTCACCTGAAACAGGAGTCCTCTTTGAAATTCATTATCCAGAAAAATATAATGTCTTCACAAGAGTGAACATAAGTTATTGGGAAGGTAAAGACTTCCGGACAATGTTATATAAAGGTAAGAGGCAAAAGGAAGAATGAATAAATGATGATTGATTATTACTCTTTACATGATTTTTGCCAAATGGTCTTCACTCTTGCTCTAAATATATTTTATAGTTCACTATTTGACCATCAATAAATCATTAAAATAGTTATTGATTGATTCATGACAATCTTGTGATGAGGAGTCTTAGAATATCTGGTTCATTAAAGTCATGTTTCACGAGTAAGCATAAGAAATACTCAAATTATTGTCACTTACATGTTATTCTTGCCAAAGGTAACATCTTATTCTTGCCAAAGGTAACATGAATTTATTTCCTGTGGGGAGAAGAGAGAAAGAAGAGAGCCCAGGGGAATTAATAATTTTAAAAGAATCAAGCCAAATTCTCAGTAGATTTTGGTGGGCTAGAAGGTGAGGGAAAAGGAGAGGCGGGGGGGAGAGAGAGAGAGAGAGAGAGAGAGAGAGAGAGAGAGAGAGCGTTCAGCTTCACTGAAGGTGAATCAAAGTGAAGAAACTTAAATACTCAGGACATACCCTAGCCGGTGTGGCTCAGTGGATAGTCAGCCTTCACAACAAAGGGTCCTGAGTTTGATTCCGATCAAGGGCATGTACCTTGGTTGCAGGCTCCTCCCTGATTCAGGTCCTGGTCTGGGCATGAGCAGGAGGCAACCAATCAATGTGTTTCTCTAATATCAATATTTCTCTCTGTCTTTCCCTCTCCCACTCTCTCTAAAAAAAAAAAATCAATGGAAAAGTATCCTCAGGTAAGGATTCTATATATGTATATATATTCAGGACACAAGACTATAACAATTCTCTGCCAGGGCTTAAATGATGGTGTCAAAGTTGACTGGCTATAATTGGGAACATGTATTGGTGAGGGGGTAATGCATATTGAAGCACATAGGTCATGGTGTCCAAAAAGATATCATTTTAACTTGCTGCTTTTAAAAATTCCTTTCTTCCATAGACTTCTTTTCTAAGTGAGGCACTCTTTAGAACATACATAGTGCATTTTTCAGTTTTTTTAAACTTTAAAATATTTAAATAAGCATAAACATAGATCCCGCAAGTTATTGCATTCTTTATTTTCAATGAAAACAGATTATCTGCAAATTAATAAGTGGGGCCTTATTTGTTTATTATTACATGCAAGTGCAAGCTGTCACTGGAACTTTTGCTGAGTTAAAAGCCATGAGTTTAAAAATAAGTGAATATGGTCTCTTTTTTTAATTAACATTAAAATTATTTTTGGCTTTTAATTTCATTAGTGGTGTTTTTAATTTCTTTTTCTCATTTCTTTCTAACTTAGACTGGATTTCTAAATTTGTTATTTTCTTTAATGTTTTCCAAATTAAATCTAAATTCTTACTTTTTTTTAGCAGGTTCTGTCTGCAACTGTCAGATAAAAACGTTCTGCTTTTAAAATAGACTAGTTTTTACAAGTGAGCCTAGAGAAAACATTTCTTGCAAAATTACTTTTTTCAAAGTCATAAAGTGGCAAAATACCTTGCATTTTCATCTTAAAGTAAATAGCTAATATAAACCTAATCTCCACAACTTCTATACATGTTCTCTACTTAATACACCAAGTGTTCCTTGGATCAAAATTCAACCTCAGTTATATACAATTCTTGCACAAAAATTTTTTCAGGACTGACTCTAAAAATTCAAATTTTCATCTCTAACCTTATGCCAAATTTTTATTACTTTCCATGCTAGAAGTTGAAGGAAATGCTATTTATTGATATTTAATAATTTTGATTACAACTTCCTAAAAGTGTGTGTCACTTAGAAGCTCAATATTTTAATATAATTGATTTTTTTCTCTTCCCAGATTTCTTTAAGGGAAAAACAGTATTTAATCATTGGCTGCCAGGAATATGTTATAGTAATATCACCTTTCAGCTGGTATCTGAGGCAACTTTTAATAAAAGTACTCTTGTGGAGTACAGTGGTGTCAGTCATGAACCCAAACAGCATAGAACTGGTAAGTTCTGAAAATTTATATTTACTGAAAAGAAAAGTAATACATTATATGTTGTATGTGTACTTTTTATCATTCTAAGAAAAATGCTGTTCCAGAGCTAAGAAAGAAAATAAATAAATAAATAAATAAATAAATAAATAAATATATACTTTAAATATATTTTATTGATTTTTTACAGAGAGGAAGGGAGAGGGATAGAGAGTCAGAAACATCAATGAGAGAGAAACATCGATCAGCTGCCTCCTGCACACTTTGTTGGGGATATGCCCGCAACAAAGGTACATGCCCTTGACCAGAATTGAACCCGGGACCCTTGAGTCTGCAGGCTGAGCTCTATCCACTGAGCCAAACCGGTTAGGCTAAATATATATATTTTAATAATCTAAAACAGCCGTAGCCGATTTGGCTCAGTGGATAGAGCATCAGCCTCCAGACAAAAGAGTCCTAGGTTTGATTCCAGTCAAGGGCACATACCAGGGTTGTGGCCTCAGTCCCCAGTAGGGGGCGTGCAGGAGGCAGCCAATCAATAATTCTCTCTCATCATTGATGTTTCTATCTCCCTCTCCCTCTCTGAAATCAATAAAAGTGTATTTCAAAAATAAATAATTTTTTAAAGTATTTAAATAATCTAAAACAAATTTTCTATCAGTGTAAAAGGAAACTAGCAAAATATTCAATAAGGAAACTCTAAAATATGTCAATGTAATCAGAGATGTATAAACTTTAAATTAAAATGTACACGATCCAACCAAAAGTTAGAATTAAATAACTTAACTGGATCAAGTAGACATCACTTATTCTATATGCCCATAAGCAGAAAAACAGATGGAAGATGTTTGAGTACAGATATTTAGATTATTAAAGGAGAATATTGGGATTCAGATGTATCGAAAACTTGTAGTGTTTAACTTTAGTAGTGTAACTAATATACAACACTATTATGGGATGGATGCATTGATGATGGATGGATGTGTGGATGGATGGATGGAGAAATGAATGGATGGGTGGACGAATAGATGGTTAAAACAAATGTGCACCTACTAAATATCCATTACCAATACCAACATAAGTGTATAATATAATTAGACAACATAGTTGTCTGTGCCTGACATGCCTAAGTACTCAGTAGGAATGCTAGAGAGTCCATTCATATGAACATTGGGAATGGCTTATATGAGATCACCCCTGAGGCCTTTCCAATCCAAAATTGTAAGTTGTCATGATTCTCATTAATTAGGCCAAGACAAGGAAACTATGCAATTTAACTCATGTCAACATCTAAGATTCTATTTGTATTTTTAATTATTCAATTCAAGTAAAGAAACATGCATTGAGATCCTTTTACCTGGGAGCTGTTCTAAGTACTAAGAGGAAGACAGAGACTGGTGAGAAAGGTTTCCTGTCCTCAAAAATGGTAGATGTTCTGTAGATGTCCCATAAGGCAACGTGCAATGAATGTTATAAACGAGGTATAACGTTATATAACAGCCCAAAGGAGGGAGAGCTTAACTTTCATTAGACATTCATGGAAGAGGTGATATTTCAGCTGCTATTTGAACAATAGATGGAAATTATTGCAGGTAAAGACCATGCAATGTGCCTTCATAATTTTCTACTTCTAGAAAAGTATCCTTCCATAATTCATAAACACATTTTGTGCTCATATTTTTCATTTTAGAGAGGTGAGGAGTAAAGCCATAAATTACCACTTGGACAAGCATAGTTTATCACAAGTTAAAGTAACTGGTGGTATACTAGTTTGTGACTAGTGGTATACAAATGTCAAACCATCACTCACAAAATCTTAGATGTATGTGTACTGGAAACCACAATTGTTCTTGATATAAATGAGAACATAGAAATATAGAAGTTAAACTAAACTTTATTTTGTAAATCCGTCTCGTTAATAGATTATGAAATTCACTATAATAGAGTTTAAAAATTACCTGAAAAATTTTTTAAAAAATGTGTCTTTCTCTTACAGCCCCTTATCCACCTCGAAACATCTCGGTTCATATTATAAACTTGAACAAAAACAATTGGGAAGAACAGAGTGGCAGTTTCCCAGAGGAATCCTTCATGAGGCCACACGATACCATGGGAAGAGACAAACTCTTCCATTTTACAGACGAAACTCCTGAAATTCCCTCTGGCAACATTTCTTCTGGTTGGCCTGATGTTAACAGCAGTGACTATGAAACTACACCCCAGCCATATTGGTGGGACAGCGCATCTGCAACTCCGGAAAGCGGAGATGGCTTTGCCAGGGTGCTTCCCCTGGGATATGAAAATAACGACACACTCAGCGAGACCGAGAAGCCAACGTCAGGCTCCTTCTCCTCTTTCCCTGTGCAAATGATACTCAGTTGGTTGCCACCAAAGCCACCCACTGCCTTTGATGGGTTCCATATCCACATAGAAAGAGAAGGTAAAGCACTAGGAAATCAGAGGGAGTAAGAAGTGATACAATCCAAGGGAAAGAAATGGAAACATTCTCAAATTTAAGTTTAGGAAGAAAGGCTGATGGGAGACAGTTAATAGCGAAAGAGAAATGATAGAGAGAGGCAGGAATGTAATTAAGCATCCAGTGTGAACTGAGACTAGGAAACAAAACGAACACATCGGATGAGAATCCGCAGGTTTGGTCAGTTCCTAAGTTGCAAGTACTGGCCACTGTACACGTTTCACTGCCCACCATTTCCCAGGCCCAGGTTACTGAAGGAAACCTTATATTGGGAAGACTTTGAACTAAAGGTCTAACCATCATCACAAAGTATAAAACAGTCTGGAGACATTTTCTGTTTTCATTAATTTTTGAAGCATGCAGCAAAAGAATCTTTCTGACAAAATGGCTACTTTCCCAAGAGTTTCAAGCCTGTGTCGGCTCCTCTAGCTATTATTGCCCTTGCGTGTGCTGCCCTGGTCGCAACACCACTCATATCTTTCCAAAGAGAAGCTGGTAGTAAAACAGAAAATGCACAGCAATTGGTATTTTCACTATAGCTAACATATGATCGATTGTATTCACTTATCCAGCATCCTAGAGTCATTCTTTATATTTTAGCCCACTAATTTATAAAAAGCAACACCATGGCATTCAGTACATTTGAGTCACGAATAATATTTAAACTGTAGTTTGGTAGCTTATCATAGTTATTCATTGTTTGTCTTGTTTGTACAGTAACATACTTCATTGTATGCCTTCCAGTCTCATAGTAGGGGTTGTAAAGGTTGCCAAGTTGTCAAAATTTGAAGTAACAATGACAACTTTATTTGCAGATTAGAGCATTAAGATCATGTCATTTTATATATGACATATTGTTCACCCTATTTCATTTAGTAGAATGAGATACAAAATCTGTGGATTCCTCTAGACTAGATGATAGAGCAGTAAAACATACCCAGGTACGGTATAACACTGAAATCCTTAGTCATTTCCAATTATCTGAGTCAAAAGTTGTAACAGTCACCTGGAATCACTTGTGGGTTTTTTTTTTTTAAGCTTCCTTATTCTAGCTTTTATTTGTCTGTTCCTCAATATATCCTATGGAAAATAGGGTCTTGTGACTCAGAATTCTTTTTTAATACCTATTTCTGTAAAGGTTCAAATGTGCTGTTATCTCACTGCACTGTGTTCTGTGGAAGGCTATTAAAATCACCGACTGATGATAACTTCAAAGGAAGTCATAAACAGCAGGGACGGACTTTGAAGCAATATAAAAATTATTTTTTATTTTTAAAAGTTCTAGAAGCAAACAGATAAAAGAAAAATATTACAAGTGTCAGAAAATATATCCACAGGAGTTATTTCTAACTAGAAATATTTTTTAAATCATTATTTCTAGTTAGAAATGATTAAATATTATAAGGCATTTCTGGATATTTAATGCTACCGCAAGGAACATACAGGATATTTGTTGCTGGTTACTTTTTAGCCCTTATATCTGGGTGACAAAGTTAATTATTGCTATTTTCTAACATTCTATTTCTATTTTGTGAATGTAGTTTTGTTGGGAAACCATACTTAAAAATACACTGTATATACTCACCCCCATTTTATTGATTTGGACACCATATTGTAGTTTGGTTATTTAAAACTATTGTGAAAATCAATTCGAACCCTTTGTCGTCTTTTAATTATTGTACCTTTAGCTTAGAAGTACAATTGAATTTGACAAAAGGAAGGAGACAATATAAAAAAATACATTTTTAATGAATTAACTTGTCTGTAGTCAAGGCCTTTCCAGTTTTCCATTTATATATCTTCTCTTTTTATGTATGATTTAGAAAACTTTACTGAACATTTGACAGTCGCTGAAGAAGCACACGAATTTGTTACAGAACTGAAGGAGCCTGGGAAATATAAGTTATCTGTGACAACCTTTAGTTCCTCAGGATCTTGTGAAACTCGAAAAAGTCAGTCAGCAAAATCACTCAGTTTTTATATCAGTAAGTACCAAAGAAACAGTTTTACACTTACAGGGGAGCTAGAACAATGGAACTGGTGAGATTAATGATGCTCAGGCATCAATTATTCATCAAACCTTCGAGACCCTGAGAATTCTTCAAGGTCAAGAGAGTCTCAAATCCAGGAAATGTTGAAAGCCGAGGAAATATATGTATGTTTAGTAGTCACAAACCTACAGATTTAACTTAAGGACTTTTTTTTATTATTGCAGTCATTGCACATTTATTTTTTTAATATATTTTTATTTATTTCAGAGAGAGGAAGGGAGAGGGAGGGAGAGACAGAAACATCAATGATGAGAGAGAATCATTGATTGGCTGTCTCCTGAACACCCCCTACTGGGGATTGAGCTGGCAACTGGGGCATGTGCCCTTGACTGGAATAGAACCTAGGACCCTTCAGTCTACAGGCTGATGCTCTATCCACTGAGCCAGGCCAGCTAGGGCTAATTGTACATTTATTAAGCTGACCTTTCACACTAGGCACAGCAAACTCTCAAAGGACATGAACAACAGTTTGGGAAATATGACTTTTGTTTAAGGTTGTAATGACAATTGATATTGTTGGACTGCATGAAAAGTCTCATTAGAATGTTGAGCTTATAGAGCACAAAAGACAGACAAAAGGTTGACGTTTAGTAAGTCACCATAAAGTTGGCACAAGAAGACAAAGCTAGAGCATCCTAAAAGTTCCAGTGTCAAGTCTCAGGATGGCTTCTACTGATTCCATAAAAAGTAATAGCAAAGCGCGGGCCCATTTTTTCTCAGTGGTTAGAGCACTGGCCCATGAATCAAAAGGTCTTGGGTTCAACTCCTGGTCAAGGGCACATACCTGGGTTGCAGGCTCAATTCCCGGCTCAGGGAGGTAACCAATCAAAGTGTCTCTCTCACCTCTTTCTCTCTCTCTTTTTGTTTCTCTCTCTCTTTCCTTCCTTCCCCATTTCCCTTCCACTCTCTAAAAATCAATGGGGAAAAATATCCTCAGGTGAGGATTACCAAAGAAAGTAATAGCAGAGCAATAAGTAGCCTCTAGAACAGCGGTTCTCAACCTGTGGGTCGTGACCCTTTTGGGGGTTGAATGACCCTTTCACAGGGGTCGCCTAAGACCATCGGAAAACACATATATAATTACATATTGTTTTGTGATTAATCACTATGCTTTAATTATGTTCAATTTGTAACAATGAAATTGGGGTCACCAAAACATGAGGAACTGTATTAAAGGGTCGCGGCATTAGGAAGGTTGAGAACCACTGCTCTAGAAGTTGCACAAAGCCCTAGCTGGTTTGGCTCAGTGGGTAGAGTGTCGGCCTGCAGCCTGAAGGGTCCTGGGTTCTATTCTGATCAAGGGCACATGCCCTGTTTGCGAGCTTGGTTCCCAGTAGGGGGTGTGCAGGAGGCAGCCAATCAATGATTCTCTCTCACTATTGATGTTTCTATCTCTCTCCCTCTCCCTTCCTCTCTGAAATCAATAAAAATCTATTTTAAAAAATAAATAAATGAAATAAAAGTTGAACAAATGGTGCATGCTTGTAACATTTTTTATGTAATCTGACTGTTTACCAGAAATTTAGAGGCTAAAAATCAATTTGTAGCTCATTGGAATGTTAATGTGCCTCTTATCAGCAGAAAGAAGAAACAGGAGGAAATGGGTAAACATTGCTCTCCAAAGAGAATGACCACCATATACTTTATCAACATCTGCAAAGGCAAAATACCACCTTCGTCAAATAATCCTCAAAAGGGAGGGGGGAGGGGACAAGGGAAACAGGAGGAGGGCAGAGGGGAGAAATCAGTTTATTTAGTAGCTTAAACATGTTGACAATGTCCCATATAAACTTTTACTTGAGAAACTAAAAATGTTGCCCCTGGTAGAGGCCTGAAAGATCCATAAGGCCTGCAGAAAGAAGAGTCACAGTTGCCTTCCGCGGCTTCCCACGATGGGAGATCTTTGGCGTGAGATGCCTTGAGAATGCGAACAAGGCTTACTATTCAGTTCTTTCCATGAGGCTAACAATGTTCCATTAACCCAAACATTTCCTTATCTGCTCATAGGGTCCCCTGCAAGTATAAACGGCTTCCAGAAAACTCCCTCAACTATTCTGGCCATGCTGGCTCTTCCCTTCCCTGAGTTTCTACTGTTTCATAGCACACAACACGAGTGTGGTATTTTTCTAGATTTATTTTATTTGTGTATACATCTTGCTTCTGGTACCAAACTATTAAATCCTAGCCTGGGATTATGCTATTTGCCTATTTATTAATTCTGTTTTACATTCAACAAATATTTATTGCGCCACTGTGTGGATTTTAGAACCAGACTTTCTGTGTGTGAATGCCAGCTCATTTACCCTCCCTTTGCCTTAGCTACCTTGTCTGAAACTGAGATTAATACTCTACTTGTCTCACAGGTTTGTTATGGAAATTAAGGGATTAAATTTATAAACACATATACTAGTAGACTCAAAATAGAGCCTAGTAGGTAATGCATGCTATATTTCTTTGCCATGATCATGATTGTTTTTTCCCCTGCCCCAGTTATGGTGAACCTGAGACTAGCATCCCTCTCCTAACCTGGGTTCCAGCCTAGGAAGACAGCTTTCTATTAAGGAATGGGGAAATAATTCCTAAGCAAATAAAAGGAAGTTCCACATTGGAATTGCAATAGGGAATCTCTGTAGGTAATAATCACCTAAATAATTCTGGAGTCCTTCCTATGAGTCAGGCACAGTGCTAATCACCCCTTTAGAAACCCAAGAGAATGAAGCTAATGGGGGCAATTCTATGGAGATAGTTTATCATGAGGAACCCACCGTGTCCACAAATTATCCCCAGGTTTTAGCCAGCTTCTATAATTGAGCCAGCCTGTTGCCTATTTCTTCTCTAATATAGTCACACCCTGCCTCTTCCATCCTACTGTTACCAAATTTGGATTTTTTTTTTACACAACTATAGGAGAAGGTAGTTTGAATCTCAAAGTAATTATTTCTAGAGACCAAAGATCCTAGCAACAAAGAAATTATAAACACTGATGACATGTCACATTGCTACATCCACTCTTTGTTAAAAGAGAAGTGAATTCGCTCCAGGGAAGTATTTTCCAGAATTAACTCAGATGCACATAATGGAAATGAAGCTTCTATCGCTCACTAGGGTATTTTTGCTGCTGTGGCTGCTGTTTAGGTCAACGATGAGGGATACAGTGCCGGGCTGTAGCTGGGCAGACAATATCAAGACCAGTTAGGCTGCCAATCTTTTTTTTAAATATGTGTTTTAAAAATATATTTTTATTGATTATATAGACTAGAGAAAGGTAGAGGGTGAGAGAGATAGAAACATCAATGATGAGAGAGAATCATTGATTGGCTGCTTCCTGCACGCCCCACACTGGGATCAAGCCCACAACCCTGACCAGGAATGGAACTATAACCTGATTCATAGGTCAACGCCCAACCAATGAGCCACGCCGCAGGGCCAGGCGCCAATCTTACTTGGAATATCTTTTTTAGGGCGAAGGGGAAATAACATGATTTTTAAAACCAGCCTTTTGTCTCAACCATCTCAGGGTGACCTGTGCCTTGTGCTCTCCTTTGAAACCTTCAGGTCCTTCGGGAGAGTGGATGGAGGAGCTCACCGAGAAGCCCCAACATGTGAGTGTCCATGTTTTAAGCTCAACCACCGCCTTGATGTCCTGGACGTCCTCCCAAGAGAACTACAATGGCACCATTGTGTCTGTGGTGTCCCTCACCTGCCAGAAACAAAAGGAGAGCCAGAGGCTAGAAAAACAGTACTGCACGCAGGTAAAGGGAGGGATTGGCTGTGGGCTCACTCACCTGCTGCAGCGCAGCCTCGCAGGCAGAGCGGGGAGCCACGGGGGAAGCTGGGCTCAGGTCTCTGGGGCTCCGTGAGCCGGGACAGGAGCGGGGAATGAGTGTCCATGGCTCTTGGGTCGCAGTCATCTTCCTTTTCCCTCTGAGGGTGGCTGTCTCCTTTCTCTATCGTTCCTCGTGCAGGAGAATTTACTGAGCACCTATGATGTACCAGGTACTAGGATAGATGCTGGGGACCTAGATATTTTGACGCGTCCTGCTCTTGCAGAGCTTCTACTCTAGCGAGAACAATGATAACTGAACATAGAATTACTGCAGAGTATAAAACAAGGCCTCGGCTGAAAGTGACCAGGAAGCGTTCGCGGAAAGCGATGAGTTCACAGAGAGGAGCAGGGTCTGAGTAAATATGCGTTGAAGCGAGAGGCTTTGGAAACTGGTGAGAAAATTTTCCACCAGGGGAGTGGACAACCAGAGGGGGAGTTTGGGGCAGTTTTTGTTTCTTTTACTTTTTCTCTCTCTCTCTTTTTTCCTTGTTATTTTAAGTATAAAAGTAATGCATGCTCACTGAAAAAAAAAATAATTCAAAAATTAAAAGGATATAAAGTAAAAAACTCAATAATCACAACTGAGAAGAGTTTTGTAGGATGTTAGGAGTTAGCTGAGCACAAGAGAGGGCAGGTGGAGACAGTGAGCAGCACAGCAGTTCTGGGAGCAGCTCCCAGCTGTGTGCACACACCTGTCCGCAGTCCTGAATGAAGCCAAGCAGAGCGGCTGAGAGCAGGCCTCGCTCTCCCACGTCCTGAATACCCACCAGGAGCTGGAGCCCAATAGCATTTTCCTAAAACTGGTTTTAGTACTACATTTTATTACTTATTCCATTTTATTATTTCATTAGATCAAATTTCCTGTTTCTTGCTATCTTACAAAACACAATATTTACCTCCCTAAAGGCAAAAAAACAAAAGTATCAGTTCATGTGGAGTACACTGGAAATATAATACTCAAAAAAGATGCCTGCCGTATGAAAGCTATTTGGGATACTTCCATTTATGCCACAAAAGTCAGGCATTAGTGAAACTCAAAGGGAGAATTTTTTAATTGATAAGATGAATTCAGGAGCTGTAGTCTTTGGAGCACTAGAAAGCCTTCGTGTGCTGAGATAAGCCCACACTTAAAGCTGAGGCCACCTCTTGACTGGAATTAAATTAAGGAGTAAATATGCTGAACCAATTAACTAGTCATCATTGCTCCCTGAGCAGCTTATAGGCTTCCCTCCCTGAGCACACCGAAGATGAGTGACTCTGGGCATTGATAGAAAATGTTTTTCTCTTACAGAACGTGACCTAGAACTTGACTGCTCCAAGGTACATTCTTCCTTGCCCCAAATAATATGCAAATTATGTATTTTTCACATGGAAACAGAAGGTTAGAAGTATAGGTAGATAGTATACATTATAAATGTTCCAGAAAGGGCTTGTCTAAGTGCACTTTGATAGCACCTTTGTGAAGTGCAAACATGAAACTATTAAAGATTATAGGCAAGGAGACCAATATTTAAAATAGAGAGTGGGAACTAAACCATTGTGCTAGGTGTTATTTCAATTACTACAAGAATGTTTTGAGGATTTTGTTATTGTTACACCCCCAACATCCATGATCCCACCACACACACACACACACACACACACACACACACACACACACACACACATTTTCAGATAAGTAAACATCAGTTCAAAAAGTCTCAAAAACCAACCTACAATCACGTGACCATTGACCAAAGGAATCCAGAAGGTGTTCTAATCAGAATCCGTCTGGCTTGGGCTTGGTTCTAAAGCAATCAGTATCCATAAAGAAAATAATAACAATATTTCTTTAGTTTTATATTCAGTAGTTCTGTGACTACATTAAATAGAAAAATCAAAATACAGCTCGAAAATAAGTGTGATTCTAAAGACAAACACATATTCACAATTAATGTAACATTTCACTATTTTACAGTTTCATTCTCCCTATTTTGCCTCTACCATCAACTGTACCATAGGATCATTGCTTTATATCTCATCTAGATCATCCATGAGATTCTCTGCTCATGTCCCTATTCCTCCTACAACTCCACTGATTTTTGTGGTAGGTGGATCCTGGGTGAGATGTTAGGAATAAAACAAATTTGACTTGAACCTTAAGTTCGCAAAGCTCAACATCTGGTGTTCCATGTAGGTACATTGTTTTAATTTAATTAAATTTGTCCTCATTTCATGTATGTTCTTCATATCGGATTTTTTTTGTTCCATGTATGTGTTTCTATGTGACTGTACATGGGAAAAGGAGTTTTGTGATATATCTCTCCTAACATCCATTTAGGCTATCCTATCTAATAAAAGAGAAACATGGTAATTAGCATATGACCGTTACCCTTCCCATTGGCTAATCAGGGCAATATGCAAATTAACTGCCAGCTAAGATGGCGGCCAAAGTGAACTGCCAGCCAGGCAGCTTAAAGTGAACATGAGGCTTGCTTGCTTCAGTGACGGAGGACTCCAACGTTCCCCGCCTGCCGCTGCAGGCCTCTGAGCTGCAACTCTAAGCAACTATGTTACAAATATAGAAGCTAAACAAAACCCCAGAAACCTGCTTTAGTCCGTCAGGCTTCAGCCAGCAGGATCCCAACATTGTTTCAAATACAGAAGGTAAACAAAGGCCAGAAACCTGCTTTCAGCAGTGGAGGCCTAAGAGCTAGAGCCAAGCCTCAAGGCTAAAGCTGGCCCAGAATAAAAAAAAAAGAAAAAAAGGAGCGGTTGGGAGCTTTGGTCACCCGCCAGCCTGAAAACAGCCCTCAGCCCCGCACCCAGACTGGCCAGGCACCCCAGTGGGGACCCCCACCCTGAAGGGTGTGTGACCAGCTGCAAACAGCCATCATCACCTCACCCAGGCTGGCCAGGCACCCCAGTGGGGACCCCACCCTGATCCAGGACACCCTTCAGGGCAAACCAGCTGGCCCCCACGCATGCACCAGGCCTCTATCCTATATAGTAAAAGGGTAATATGCCTCCCAGCACCAGGATCAGCAGAGCCACGAGGCCTCCCAGCACCGGGATGAGCGTGACAAGGGGCAGCGCCCAAATTTTTGTGCACCGGGCCCTAGTTCATTAATAAATGAATATATGGCCAAAACCGGTTTGGCTCAGTGGATAGAGCGTCGGCCTCCGGACTGAAAGGTCCCAGGTTCGATTCCGGCCAAGGGCATGTACCTGGGTTGCGGGCACATCCCCAGTAGGAGATGTGCTGGAGGCAGCTGATCGATGTTTCTCTCTCATCGATGTTTCTAACTCTCTATCTCTCTCCCTTCCTCTCTGTAAAAAATCAATAAAATATATTTTTTTTAAAAAATAAAAAATAAAAAAATAAATGAATATATGTTTAACATAAAGTCAGTGCTCAATTGGTATTACAGAAAGGGCCCAGTCAATTCTCTGAAGTCAAATGTGATTTTTGCATTTTCTCCAAAGGCTCACACACAATCATAAATTTCAGACTTAAGAAGCATCATACAATATATGTATGTATATATATTTTATATGTGATGTGCCTTGGTCCATAAGTGTTTTTCGACAATTTATAGGAATGTATAACTGGATGTCAAAGTCAGAAGACAGAAAAATCAGTCTATTGGCTTTATCAATGAAGAAATGGTAGAGCTACGAGGCCAACTATTTAAGGGACTTGCCTAAAGTTACACACTGATTAGTGTTAGAGTTGAGACCAGGACTTAAGTGATCTGACCTCCAGGCCAATGCTGTTTCAGTTGGATTGCATGTGCTACACTAGGTGGGGGGTCACCCTCACTGCTCATCTTGACAAGGTCAAAAGTAGTGACTGAAAGCTTCGAATCCAGTATCTGATCTGATTTTAAGTTACCAGCTATGAGTCCCTAGGCAACTTTCTTCATCTCTATGTCTTTGTGTCTTAATCCATAATATAAGGAGAAGTATATCCTACCTCATAAAGTTGTACTAAAGATCAAAGCTTGTATGCTTAACGCAGTTCTTGGAATAGAAGTGTGCAAGGAATTGTTAGCTTTTATTATTACACAAACCTAACTGGATTTTTTTAATCAAGGGAGGGAGATAGAGCAATTCTATGGTTTCTCCACAGAAAAACCTGAGTAATTGTAACAAATATATAGAAAAGAACTAGTGGAATAGGATTACATAATGTAGAAATAAGATCATTTCAGACTCAAAGGACCCCTCACCACCATCTACTTCAACCTATTATTTGAGTTTATTGAGTATTTCTTATACTGTCTAGTCCATCTTTCCTCCCATTTCTTTAGCTGAGAAGGTGACTAGTTAGAGAAACATTAGGCTGAATATAATTCTCTGCAGTGAGGACTAAGCTAGTCAGGCGTGGGAGAGAGGAAATATTGGAATGCAAAGATGGGGTGGAAATTGGGGGAGGGGGTATGAAATGATCCTCTAGAGAATAAAAAACATTATTTAATAAGGAGCATTTCCTCTTCCTACCTCTAAGCCACCCCCAAGAAGATAAGAAGGTCTAGGATAAATAAGAAGGCATGGAGGGACAGAAGTGTAGATATAGGGTGGTAGCAAATATTCAAAAATTGGGGATGGGATTGGTGTTTATGATTTGTTAAGGTCATTTGCAATATCATTACTCTAGTTATTTTTTAGTATTATTATATATATAGTATATATTATATATAATATATACTATATATATAATATATATACTATATATTATATATATATGCTTTTTATTTTAAATAAATATATATGCCTTTTATTTTAAAAGTATAATTTCAAGTTGTCCCTGAAACTACTACATTCACATGGTTATTCTCACATTGGTTCTGAGGGCATCAGTGGGCTGGGAGAATCCTTCCAAAGGGCTATTGTCCAATCCAAAAGCATAAGCCTTTTTATGGGTATTTCAAAGTGCCCAGCTATAGCCATTCATTTTAATTAAAAATTGATAAATTACAAGTAATCTTCAAAAGTATAATTTTCTTAGGAAAAATTCATTTTTATGACATTTAAGTGACTGTGATTCTAGGTACTCATTTGAATAGTCAGAATCAACTACTGCCTAAAATATTATCAAACCAAAGGAACTTTAACAGCACCCTGAAACAATGTACACTTTTTTTTAAGTATATATTTTATTGATTTTTTACAGAGAGGAAGGGAGAGGGATAGAGAGTTATAAACATCGATGAGAGAGAAACATCGATCAGCTGCCTCCTGCACACTCCCCACTGGGTATGTGCCCGTAACCAAGGTACATGCCCTTGACTGGAATCGAACCTGGGACCCTTGAGTCTGCAGGCTATCCACTAAGCCAAACCAGTCAGGGCACAATGTATACTTTTTATGTCCTGTGTTATTCTGATGTGCTTAACAAGTGAGGCATGAACTAGGTCAGCATTCACAGGTACGGTTGTATGTCTAGAATGTGTTGTGAAATTTAAAAGAAAAGTTTGGAGCCATGTTGATAATATGACACCTATACGGTTCAATAGCATATTCTTTATGGATGTACGTACCAAGGAAGGTCTGGAAGATTGCCCACTGAGATGTTGGAAATGGTGAAAGGAAGACAGTAAGACTTCCAATTTATTTACTTTCCTACAATGTGAATAATTTTTACAGTGAGCAAATAGTGTTAGTTTTACTGTTTAAGATGTATTTTACAGAAATAAAAAAGTATAGCTTAGTTGTGTGTAATATACATGTTCTTATCCATACCTTATCTCTTCAAGAAATGCTCTATCAAATGATGATATCTAGTTGACTGGCCTTGTCTAGATGGCTTCCAGCAGAAGTGAATTCTAAAACCTGGGCAAGAAACCCTGATATACTAGTAAATAATGTGTAAATAGAAAAAGAAATGCTAACATTAATTCAGTTTAACCTTATTTTGATCAAATTAATTGAAAATAAATTTGGGCATGCTGTGGGGGCACCTATGTGGAGAGCAAGTTATGCCAATACAAATTGTACAATTTCTGCTGGGTAGAACCAGTTCCTGGTATTGGGAAGGTTTTACTTTGTATTATATCACTAAACGTATATTTATTCTTAAAATTGTGATGAGACTTTGGCAAACTATGGCATAGGTAAGGCGTCAACAATATTGTTTTCCATTTATTTAAGCACCTTTGCGGAAATTTTACCATTTTATGTACCCTAGAGGCCAAAAATTTGATGAGTAATAAGAGTCAACTTTTTTTAATATTCTGTCTTAAACATCCTTAGAACTCTATGAGATATATAATAGTAATGTTTATACTTTGTCAATGAGGAAAACAAGGTAAAAATTATTTTAAAATTATCAATTATCAATTAATTCCCATGTTTATGAGGGATCAAGTCAGGATTTGATCTCAGGCAGTCTGAACAGAATACCTGTGTTCTCTCCATTAAGCAAGACTGTCAACATCAGAAGCACTAAAGCACACTTCATAATCATCAATCATTATGCACACCAACATTGAATTTAAATAGGCACATATTATCTGTTTTCACTATTTTTCTCTATATGTTTTTTGTTACGTAATCAAGAGCTTTTTTTCTTTTTTTTAAGAGGAACTCATCTAATAAGAAATGTTCTTGACAACATTATTTCATGGAGCCACAATAGCCTTGTAAAGAACTTCACTCATTTGTGGAATATAATGAACAACATCTATAATAATAAAAGCATCATATGCAAATTGACCAAACAGCAGAATGACTGTAGGATGACATTTTGGATGATCACGCTATGACACGCACTGGCGTCAGGCCAGACAAGGCGGATGCGATGCGATTGGTCAGGGGCCCCGCCATTGCCCCACGATCGCCAGGCAGAAGGAGGCCCAGGCCACCCTCTGTAGGGCGATCAATGGTGGGGACTCCATGATCGATCGCCCCAAAGAGGGAGGCACAGGCCACCCTCTGCACAGCAATCAATTGTGGAGCCCCTGCTGGGTGGGCAGGGCCTCTCTCTGCTGGGCAATAGATCACAGAGCCCAGAGCCCCGCAATTGATTGCCCCACAGAGGGAACCCAGGCCACTGGCCAGCGATGCTGCGACAGGTGTGTGGGGCCGGCCAGTGATCACCCTGCAGAAGGAGGCCCAGGCCAGCTAAGCTATTGCACCCCACACCTGTCCCCCGCAGAGGGAGGTGACCAGTAGGGGGGAGGAGGAACAGTGCCACACAGATGACAAGCAGTGGCAGCAGCTGGGGCAGGACTAGCTTCTGGCAGCCGGGGGAAGGAAAGCCCGGATAGGCCCTGATCACCAACCAGGCCTAGGGACCCTACCCGAGGGGTCCTGGATTGTGAGAGGGCACAGGCTGGGCTGAGGGATACCACCCCCCACCCCGTGCATGCATTTCATGCACCGGGCCTCTAGTAAACTAATGAACAAAATAGATACAGAGACATAGACGCATTGAACAGACCAACAAACCTCAAAGGGAAGGCAGGGGAGTGTATGTGGGGAGGGTGGCGGGTTGGGGTGAGAGATCAACCAAAGGACTTGTATGCATGTACTAGTATAAAGCATAACCAATGGACACAGAGAGTAGGGGGGTGAGGTCATCTGCTGGGGAGTAGGAGCAGGCGGGGAGAGGTCACTGTAAGACAATGTAAGACATATTACAAAGGAGACATATGTAACACTTTCAACAATAAAGAATTTAAATAAAATTAAAAAAGAACTTCCGCTATATCTCTATGCTCAGCCATGACTCGCCTGTAGTGTGGATTAGAGGTCACACACTAGGCTTCTAGTCCCAGCACTGAATCTAAATATGTGACCTTGGGCATTCTCTCACTTTACTTTCTTAATCTATTAAGAGATTTGGACTAGCTAATTTCTGAAGTCATTTCCATCTCTATAATTAGATATTATATGCTTCTCAGTGACAAGGGACTAAAGGCATTCCTGTACTGATCTTCGTATGCCATCGAGTGACACTACAATTTAGAATGTCAGACTCTCCTTACGGTATTGCTGATTTGATTATGGTTAGAGGTTTATGTGTCTCTTGTGTACATAGTTACAATTAACACTGATGGGTATAAAGCATTTCACGGGGCTTATTAAATCCAGGCATAGAATCTGAATGTTCTGGGCCTCCTTTGGTGTTCACATAAACTATAAATCATCCTAATTTTGAAATCTGACCTTCCTGGGCATGAATAAAGGATTCTGGATTTCAAAGGCATCTGTGGTTCCACAAAGAGTCTCTGAATACAATTTTAGCCTCTGTGTCACATTCTAAAAGCTCAGCTCTAAAGAAATCTTATTGGCTGTTTGGTTTAAAGGTGAACTCAAGCAAACCTATTATTGAAAATCTGGTTCCTGGTGCCCAATACCAGGTTGTGATGTACCTTAGAAAAGGCCCTTTGATTGGACCACCTTCAGATCCTGTGACATTTGCCATTGGTAAGTCACCAGGTACAAGAATAATAACATTATCAAAGTATTGTTTGGAGGAGTGCAATGTCCAAGCTCAACTCATTATCATCATATATGGGAGGCCCATTCTTGTTCACCCAATATCCTACCTTCAGAATCATAAACTATTGAAATTGTATAGCTGGAGGGCATCCTTAGCATTTATTATTTGAGGGGGTGGGGTGGGAGTCAGAGGCAAATATGTTTAGTTTTCAATGATGGTATCAGAAAAGCAAAAACCTTAGTTATAAAGTAGACATTTGAAGCCATTGCTATGATATTAAACATTCCTTCTTGGCTTTTTTTCACTCCCCTCTCCTCCTTCCTCTTAGTTCCAACTGGAATAAAGGATTTAATGCTCTACCCCTTGGGCCCCACAGCAGTGGTTTTGAGCTGGACCAGACCATACTTAGGAGTGTTCAGAAAATATGTGGTTGAAATGTTTTATTTCAACCCCGCAACAATGACATCGGAGTGGACAACCTACTATGAAATAGCAGCAACCACCTCCTTAACTGCATCTGTGGTAATCTTTCCTGAGCCATCTGTCACCTCCCTGTGTAAATAGATGTGCCGATATGTACCTAATGTCGGGAAAAGGTATCTGTAAATTAGACCATTTTGTAAATATACACAGTTTGCTATTCTTAAGGGGTTTTTTTTGTTGTTGTTTTTAAGATTGTTTTTAGTTGTTTTGAGAGAGAGAGAGAGAGAGAGAGAGAGAGAGAGAGAGAGAGAAAGAATTGTGTGCAACTGGCTTTCATCCCTAATTTGTTTGTTAATCCATATTTTAGTAGAGCTACCAAGTGCTTATTGTTTCTTCCTGCTCCTGGGGAGAAAAACACAGGAGATTACCTTTCATCGTTTAATAATTAGTTGACACTGCTTAACTGTGATGATGATGATTCTTGACATCTACAAAACAGTTAATTACTTATAGTGTCAGGCCATTAGAGAGCGGGTAAAGACTGCTCTCTCTAAACCTTAAATAATTTTAGAAGTGCAGTTTCCCTGCAGTTCACACATGAAGTACACAATTGCCCTCTACCCAGTTGATGATTCATAATTGTCACCCATCAAGGGCACATGCCTATGGTCCAACCTGAGAAAATACAGAGTTATGAAAGGTCATTTGGCTTGAAATAGGGAGGCGTGTATCTACAGTCACTTGCAAATAAGTACTATTTCACTTGTGTAATATGACTTAGGAAACTGCAAAATGAGACCAATATTGGAAGCATCTGACTCTATACCTTTGAATCACTTTTTAAATTACATTATATTTTTGTATAGCTTTTTATTTACACCTCACCTCATTACAAAAAGAGGTTGTTGTGTGTGCTTTTAGCGGAAAATTTTGTGAATACAACAAGGCACAGAATATAAAATAAAAATTATTTATTAGTTCTTTTCATGGTCAAATAGAAATAATTCTACTCAAAAAAATATGATTTTTCCCCTTTGTCTTTGGTCCCCTTGCTTTTTTTAGCGAATAGCTAATCTGTTGCCAGCGTGGTACTACAACTTCCGAGTGACCATGGTGACCTGGGGAGACCCAGAATTGAGCTGTTGTGACAGTTCCACCATCAGCTTCATAACAGGTGAGTGGTGTGCAGGGAGCGGTTTCCTGAGGAGAGAACACTGTCTGCAGAAGGTTCTGAAGAGACACATCTCCAGAAAGTGCCGGTCACTCGCTCAGGAGTGACAGCCCCAGTGTCATGGAAGATCATATGCCTGAGTCTGGAAAATTATTATTTGTTTAAATAATGGCCTTTAAAAATTAAAATATTATTTTTATCCTGAGTTCCTGCCCTTGATTCATTTTTACTCTGAGTCACTGCCCTTGAATAGTGTGCCCCTGTTTGAAATTGATCAGAAAAGAGATGTGCTTCACACTGCAGCCAATTGCCTTTGCCCATTTGATGGCTGTATTTGCTAGAGGGCCTCCATGTCATTATTAATTATGACATTTTTAAAGCCCACGCTGACTGCAGTGTTGTCCACTGCAGGAGTTAAAAGCCTGTGGAGACAGGTAGACCTGGGTTTGAATCACACCTCTGTTGGATGTTATATACGACCTTGAGCAATTAACTTTTCTAAGTCTTGGTGTTTTTTTAATGTGAAAAATGGGGATGATACTAGTATCTATTCTCTGTTATTATCTACTAGATGCCCGATGCATAAATTTGTGCACAGGTGGGGTCCCATGGCCTGGCCAGCGATCAGGACTGATGGAGGGGGGAGAGGACTGGCCAGCCAGGGGGAGGGACCGCGAGAAGTTGGCCGGCCAAGGGAGGTTGGCTGTGGGAGTGCACTGACCACCAGGGGGCAGCTCCTGCATTGAGCATCTGCCCCCTGGTGGTCAGTGAGCATCATAGCTACCAGTCGACTGATCATTTGGTTGCTTAGGCTTTTATATATAGAGAGACTAGCGGCCCAGTGCATGAAATTCATGCAACGGAGGGAGGGGGGGGGACATCCCTCAGCTCAGCCTGCACCCTCTCCAATCTGGGACCCCTCAGGGGATGTCTGGCTGCCAGTTTAGGCCCAATCCCTAAACCGACAGTCGGACATCCCTATCGCAATCCAGGACCAATGGCTTCTATCCACTCACCTGCCTGCCTGCCTGATCGCCCCCTAACCACCTCTGCCTCGGCCCCTGCCACCGTGGCTTTGTTCAAAAGAATGTCTGGAAGACATCTTGTCTAATTAGAATATTATCCTTTTATTAGTATAAATTATTGTTTCTCAATTAAATAAGCTGCTTAGCAAAATACATGGCACAAAGTTTAAGTAACTTTAAAAAATTGTTCATGTTAGATCTCAGAGCCTTAAATTGTGTAGTTTAACATAATACTAGAGGCCTGGTGCACAAAAATTTGTGCACTCGGGGGAGGGGGTTCCTCAGCCCGGCCTGTGCCCTCTTGGAGTCTGGGACCCCTCGGGGGATGACCACCTGCTGGCTTAGGCTCGCTCCCTGAGGGATTGGGCCTAAGCTGGCAATCAGACATCCCTCTGGCAGCCCAGGAGCCCTCAGGGGATGTCCACTTGCCAGCGGGGAGCAGGCCTAAGCTGCAGTCAGACATCCTTAGCGCTGCTGAGGAGGTGGGAGAGGCTCCCACCACCACCTCTGTGCTGGCAGCTGGCAGCCTGGCTGTGGCTGAGCAGAGCTCCCGCTGTGGGAGCGCACTGAACACCAGGGGGCAGCTCCTGCATTGAGTGTCTGCCCTCTGGTGGTCAGTGTGTGTCATAGTGACCAGTCATTCCCAGTCATTCTGCTGTTAGGGTCAATTTGCATATTACCCTTTTATTATATAGAATAGAGGCCTGGTGCTTGGGTGGGGGCCGGCTGGTTTGCCATGAAGGGTGTCCTGGATCAGGATGGGGGTCCTGCTGGGATGCCTGGCCAGCCTGGATGAGGGGCTGAGGGCCGTTTTCAGACTTTCCACACCCCCTATAGGATAGGGGTCCCCCCTGGGGTGCCTGGCCAGCCTGGGTGAGGGGCTGATGGCTGTTTGCAGGCTGGCCACAGCCCCTTCAGGGTGGGGGTCCCCCCTGGGGTGCCTGGCCTGCCTGGGTGAGGGGCTGAGGGCCGTTTTCAGGCTTGTCACACCCCCTTCAGGATGGGGGTTCTTGCTGGGGTGCCTGGCTAGTCTGGGTGAGGGGCTGATGGCTGTTTGCAGGCTGGCCATGGCCCCCAGCCAACCAAGCTCCCAGTGGAGGCTGGCTGGAAGCAGGTATCTGGGATTTATTTATCTTCTATAATTGAAACTTTGTTGCCTTGAGAGGAGGCCACAGCCACCCAGGGCAGGCAGGAAGCTTGACTTCCTCCATCGCCGGGGCAACCAAACCTCCTCCTTGCTCCAGCTCCGTGGCTGCCATCTTGGCTGGGTTAATTAGCATTTAGTCGCTCTGATTGGCTGGTGGGCGTGGCCTGGGACATAGCAGAGGTGCAGTCAATTTGCATGTTTCTCTTTTATTAGATTAGCTAGCAGAGATGGTAAAAGTGATCAGAGGTGACAATGAAAAGGGGAAATTAATAAAAGAGACATTAACCCTGGTTGTTTGAATTAAGATTTTTTTAGGAACTTTTGGGTGGACTCTAATACTGTAATTAGAGTTGTACTGAGAAAAGAGCAGAGAAAAAATATTTTTAGATGAAGAATAATTTTGGCAAAATGTTTTCCTCACTGGACATCTAGCTTTGTTCCATTGAAATTTATAAATTCCAAAACAACAGAAATTTATCCTATGTGAATTCTTACACAATTTACTTATATAGTTCATCACTTTTCCTTACTAGCCAATGTCTAGCACTCCCCATTGGCTCAAAAAAGGAGAAAATACCAATTATTTAAGAAGCTTTGTGTTATGCTGTTGACTTTATCAATAATTACATGTTTAATTATAATTAAACTTCATTTTATTAATAACTTATACAGTTTAACTTTATTGGGATTAACACCCTGAGAGTATTCTTCTCTTCTCAGCCAGCCATATCTGGACTGGAAAAAGCCCAGACTTCCCATCTGAACATTTGATTCAACAGACCTGGCTCTGCTAATTTCTGGCTTTAGAATTATCTCAGTGATCCTAGACTTCTATTTTCTCATTGGTAACACTCGGAATATTACCTCACACCTGACTAAGAGAGCCAAGCTCAGGGCATTAGACCTCACACAGGGAGGCGGAACCCACCTTGCAGTCATTGCAGCATCTCATAGGGCACATGGGACATGAAATATTCATAGGATTCATAGTTCTGGACCCAAGTGGTTGGTGTGCCTTTCAAAACCGGAAACCGACTGGGATTGGGCAAAGGTCATGATGTAACAATTAGGTTGACAAAGCAAGTCTGGATAGGTAAACTGTGATTAATCAGCAAGCTACTTGCCTAAGTGTGCAGTCTATTATCTTCAATAAATTGATCTTTGGTAACTTCCTATCTTTTCCTGGGACAAACTATTAAGTTGTGCTCACATTGGCGGTCCATAGTCTTATCTGATACAGGTCTCAATTCTCAACATCTATAATGTGGACATAACAACACCCCGCAGGATAGTGTGAGTATTAAATTACCTAATGTAAATCACTATTCAAATATAATGGTAGCTAACTTATTTTTATTCTCATTTTTTCTTCTCTCATTTCATTTTAAAGCAAATAAGGATCACAAACTTCACTTTCCTATGCTTTTCCATTGTGACCCAAACTGCCAAATTGTGCAGTATAAAAGGAACCAGGAAAAAATATTTTAATAAGGTGTGATTTATCAGGACCTCAAGTCTACTCTCTGTTAGGCAGCTTATTTCCTCTGCAAGTCAAGTTCATAATTATGCTGGTGTACCAAACAATGCTTACTAAACAGATAGTGACATCTTGTGGTCCTTCAGCACGATGCTGGATTTTAAAGTAACAACACGGAGCACAAAAATCTGAAGACTTATACCTTTGAGAGGGATATGTGCTTCTGGGTTTGAAATTTTAAATGTGTTTTTGTCCTCATGATAATTAGAACATGAGAAAATATTCTTTGAAGAAACATAAGTATAGGTCATTGCATATAATGAAGTATTGGGAATATATTAAGAGGCCACAAGGAAGCCAGGGTCCATATCCTTTATTAGGATATTCTGAAATATGATGTGGGTTTGTGTTATTTGCTAAGATACATTGTTGATATTTCAAGATTTTATTGTCAAATATATAGAAATGCTATTTCACATGACACATAAATGTGCTTTTTACTCTTTATACTATAAATCTTGACAGTGGATTATTTCAAAGCATCACTAGTGCTGAATGTTTGTGTTGAGTATCAGTGGCAAATTAAAGAAGATAATTCTTTATGGTTTGTAGAAATTCTCCTCCAAATATTTTAGTTGGTTTTTGCTGCATCATGGAACAGAAAACTTGCCTGTCTTTAAACCACCATTCACGTGGAATTTAAATTCAGCTGTTTATTTGTTTTTTCAAATCTTCAGAATTATCAGTTACTTTAAAAATAATGGAAATATGCTTTCACAGGTCATCCTATATAATAAAAGGGTAATATGCAAAATGACCTTAACAGCAGAACGACTGGGAATGATTGGTCACTATGACACACACTAACCACCAGGGGGCAGACGTTCAATGCAGGAGCTACCCCCTGGTGGTCAGTGCGCTCTGACAGGGGGAGCTCTGCTCAGCCACAAGCCAGGCTGATGGCTGCCAGTACAGCGGTGGTGGTGGGAGCCTCTCCCGCCTCCTGAGCAGCGCTAAGGATGTCCGACTACAGCTTAGGCCTGTTCCCCGCTGGCAAGTGGACATCTCCCGAGGGCTGCCAGGCTGCCAGAGGGATGTCTGACCGCCAGCTTGGGCCCAATCCCCCAGGGAGCGGGCCTAAGCCAGCAGGTGGACCTCCTCCTAGGGGTCCCAGACTGTGAGAGGGCATAGGCCAGGCTGAGGGGATCCCCCCCCCCAGTGCACAAATTTGTGTGCACCGGGCCTCTAGTATATTATAAAGCTTATGATGAGCTCATCTTCCCAATTGGAAATTTTCTTAAAGTTTAAATGTATCAAAATATAAAATACGTTAATAAACTTAGTGTTAGACTTTAACTTTGCATTATGATAAAAAATCCTTCCACAGGCATTTATTAAAAGGTTACTTTCTGCAAAGCACTGGACTAAAACACTGTCAATGATGTTGCCTTGTGTTTTATGGAAACAGCATTTCTTTTCTGTCCCACTACTCCCACTGTCCCCTTCTCCCATAAGCACCTTGGATGTGCCACAACCAAAAAAAGATGTATCTTTATAGAACCCCAGAGCTTCCAGTACTTCTTTGAAAATAAGTTCACCAATGCCTAATGACTAATTAATTGATGCAACAAGCATACCCAAACAAGTGAACATTTTAGGAATTTTGTAACTGACATTTACATAAAAGACCTTGATACCCTCAGGTTCAGATGGAGCTGTCTTGTGTCTGAGCTGTAAGGTGAGGTCCCAGGAAACAAATGCCCACCTTGTAGTATATACCTGTGGTACTGGGAGTCCCAGGTCTATTCAGGATCATCATATGGTGTGAATTTTAGTTCTTTAACTTTACATGGGATTTCATGCTGTATGAATAAGCATTTTAATTGTTAGTAATCTCTTACACTAAAGTGTTCTTCTTTTCTACCTTATAGCCCCAGTTGCTCCAGAAATCACTTCTGTGGAATATTTCAACAGTCTGTTATATATCAGTTGGACATATGGGGATGACACCACTGACCTCTCCCATTCTAGAATGCTGCATTGGATGGTTGTTGCAGAAGGAAAGAAGAAAATTAAAAAGAGCGTATGTTTCTTTGAATCCCAGTATGGGCATCTGAATATTCATTTGCATAAACTATGGACAACCATTAAGCAAAATGTATTGAGACATTAAACCAATGTTTGTATGCCCGTTGGCATTGTTTTATGCTCTGGAGATAGGATCGTGAACAAAAATTAAATTCCTTTTTTTATAGAGCTTACTTTTTAATCTTTAATAATTAGCTGAAATAGTTGTAACTATTAATTTCACTTATGAGTGTTATGATTTGAGTGTTTTCTTCAGGATGTTAAACATTTTCAAGAAAATCATAGTTAACAAATTTCAATATTTTGTCCTTATATCCCCCAACACCTAAATATTTGGGTATGTTAGTAATGCTGATTTCTTTTCTCCTGGTATAATAAGCTTTTTGACATTGTATTAGTTAGGGTAAAGAGTAAATGACTTCAATTAAAAAAATATATAGTGGCTCAAAGAAAATCAACGTTTATGTGTCTCTCATGCTAGCCCAGGACTAACAGGGTACCTCTTCTGTACCATAAAGGAACATCCAGGGTCCAGATTCTCTCTCTCTGTTGCGCCAGCTGTGACTCTATGTCATCCTCATCTGTACAAGTGACCCTTCATTATCATTAGAATCACCTGTGCAGGGAAGATAGGCCATGAAAGCCCAGTACCTACACAGTGTGAATGAAACTATAAGTTGCCCATATGACTTTTATTTACAATCCATTGGTCAGAATTGGGTCACATGCTTTCCTCTAGCTACAGGGAGGTTCTGGGAAATACAGTCTTCAGTTAAGAAGCCAAGTATCCATCATGGGCTGCGTTTCTTCTGAGTGTTCCAGGGCTGAGAAATATTCCTATCAGGAACAGCCCAGCAGTTACCTTTTATAAAATTTGCTGTGAATACGAGGGGAAATATCAGAGTGATACCTGTTCCAAACAAGGAAATCAATTGCAAAAATGCTCTGATATGTATTATGCGTATTTAGAACTACTTTGCATTTGGCTCAGATCAGGAATTTATATCATTTTTAGAGGAAATAACTTATTCATAAGGTTGTAATCACTTGTAGATTGCAGCACAGAACAGAGAGGCCATGTCTGTGATAGTCCTGTAATTGTTTAGAATGGTATTATAGTTCAAGTTGATCAGAAGGTTAAACCCTTGATTTTGATGATCTTGCAGGTAACACGCAATGTCATGACTGCAATTCTCAGCCTGCCTCCAGGAGATATCTACAATCTCTCTGTAACTGCTTGCACTGAAAGAGGAAGTAATACCTCCCTGCTCCACCTTGTCAAGCTAGGTGAGATGAGTCCACAGGTGTGAGTGTGAAAGTGATTATGCTGGGGAAACTAGTATTTGCATTTCTTAGTTTAGCATGGTCTTTTCAACTCAGGGAAATCACACAAAAAAACAGTTCACTCTCTTCTAGAAGTGAAAAATAGCCATTTATACTACCAGAAGAGTATGTTCATCTTAGTATAAGTTTCTGTAAGTGCAGTGCTTACTGAATTGGGAGATAGGAGTGTCCATCAGTCATAGTAAGCTTAGAGAATCTAAGGAGTCTCAGGATTTAAAGATGGAAGGATCTTTGCGATTATCTAGCGCAGTGTACTCAACCCATCAGAAGCCATTTCCTTTTCATATCACTATTATGTAATGCTCTCTTTGATATCTACAATTAAATGCATAAGAAAAATAACCCATGTATTGATATTTTAAAATTTGATATAACGTCTTAACTTTAATATAAAATCAAGATAAAATAAAATAATCCTATATAATAAAAGCCTAATATGCTGTGTCCAGTCATCTGGTTGGCCGTTCAACCAATCAAAGCATAATATGCTAATGATATGCTAAGGACACTCAACTGCTCACTATGATGTGCACTGACCACCAGGGGGCAGACACTCTGACCAGTAGGTTAGCTTGCTGCTGGGATTCAGCCGATTGGGACTGAGTGAGATGGGCTGGACACGCCTGGAGCCTTCCCACGGCTCCTTCCCAGCTGGCCAACTTCCTATGTCCCTCCCCGGCCCTGATCATGCACCTGTGGGATCCCTAGGCCTGGCCTGTGCCCTCTCACAATCTGGGACCCCTTGGGGGATGTCAGAGAGCTGGTTTCGGCCCAATCCTGTAAGCCAGGCCAAGGGACCCCACTGGTATATGAATTCGTGCACACACCGGGCCTCTAGTTTATAATAAATGGATATGGATTCCCTATGTATATGTTCAGATACAGCTCTTCAAAAAAATCATAATGAAATTACTTGATAACTATACATTGTTAATATGAATAAGTTGGAGTTTACAAGAAGTAAAAGGATCAGTAGTTCTTCCATATAAGAACTATACAAATAAATGCAGAAGTGAACAAGTTTATATTGATTAGTTATAAATAACTGAGCAAGCATAAGTGCAGATAGAATAAAACCTAAAATTAAGAGAAGTAATAAGAGACTAGATACATTTTCATCTGATAAAAGAAAGAGGGAAATAACCTTAATTAAAGTAGAAATAACTTGCCAAGAAAAATAATAGGCTGTGGATGAGAGGAAATGAGGAAAGTATGATATTCTTGGAAATGAGCTAAAACCTATTGTGTAGTGTAGTATCAAAATAATTTTCTGTATTATGAAAAACAACTAAGATATGACCCTGTGCAACATAAACACATCTTCTACATTCAACAATATACCATGCATTGATATATTCATTTAGTTTCTAATAGTTTAAGGGACCTCAGAGATGATCATCCTATAACCAGCAGCAGGCAAAAGAGGATTGATTGGCAAAAAATTGTATGGTAAACCTCAAGGGACAGTATCAGTTTAAGAGTACTGACCCCCAAAATAAATGCATTCCAATTCAATATGTAATTTTCACAGCAGAGATATTTTTTTTAAAAAAAAATTAAAATATATAAAATGGCAAAACATTTTAAAACACTTAACATAACTCACTGATATCACTGTTTCAGATGTCTGCTAATTTTAAGCTGTGTCTGAGTGTATTCATGAGTCTCAAATAGCCACTGTTATTACATATATTCATACATGCAGCTAAAGTTAATATGGATCCAGGGTATTTTTGTTAGCAGCTTAAATACCATGAGTAGCATGGCTGACATTTAGAAGACTCCTAGAATATTCCCAAGAAAACAAAGTGTAATATTTCCTTAGTTTACCCAATAGTTGCATTCTCTGTAATTCATTGCACTAAGTCTTAAATTTTTTGTCTTATATTTGCCAACTCAAAACTAAATTCTTGCACTGAAACCTTTTAAACTTAAATAGGTAGTTGGAAATACATAACATATTGAATAAACACTATGGGCAGAAAAAGCCAATTGTTACATAATTTTGAGATCACTTCTTAATTCCACTTGAATATCCTTCTTGCTGATAGCCTTCTTCTAAGTTATTTTAACTCCTTGAAAAAAAATCCAATATTACATGGTAAAGTACTTGCAATTATATTTATAATGAATTTATTCTGGTGTGACATTAGAAAGTCACATGGTACGTTGGATATGGACAATTATTCTGTTCGGAGCTTTCTTCATCATTGCAGGACATCTAGCATTTCTGTGTCCTGCTCACAAAAGTCCAGTTAACTTCTGTTGTAACTATTAAAAACATTTCTGTAAATTTCAAAAGTACCCTCAGGGGGGCAGTACTTTGCCTATTGAGACTCTGGTAGAGTTCAATTTTGGGCACTACAGGCAATCTGCTCTTCTTCCCTAGCAGTCTACACTTGAATTCTAAAAATGTGGCTATCACCAGCTACCAGCATTTCATGATCTTCCTATTAAGAAAAAAATAGCCTCTCTGTCAATTCCAACCATTACCTGAAAATTTGCCCAAGTATAAATGTCAGTTTAAAATTCATTTCTGGAAAAGTATAACTATTTAAAGATTATGCTCACGTTCCCCATGCCTTTCTTTCCCCAAGCTGTATCATTACCAGTATCTGTGATTCTCAGGGCCTAGCTGCTGTACCCAACTCATTTGATTTATTAGTCTCTCTTAAAGTGCAAGTTCAGAGGTGCTCTTACCAAAATAGCATTCAGTGGACCTGTTGCATGCTTCACTGTCACTTTTATATGACATTATGGGCTAGAGATCCAGTGCACTTCACTGGGGGAGGGGGTGTCCCTCAGCCCGGATTGCGAGAGGGCGCAGGCCAGACCTAAGGACCCCATCAATGCATGATCAGGGACAGGGAGGGACATAGGAGGTTGGCCAGATGGGGAGAGACCACAGGAGGACTCCAGGGTGTGTCTGGCCTGTCTCGCTCAGTTCCCATCAGCTGGACCCCAGCAGCAAGCTAACCTACTGGTCAGTGTGTCTGCCCCCTGGTGGTCAGTGCATGTCATAGCAACTGATCGACCAGTCAACTGTCTACCCCCTGTTGGTCAGTGCACGTCATAGTGAGCAGTTGAGAGGCCTTAGCATATCATTAGCATATTATGCTTTGATTGGTTGAACGGCCTACCAGATGACTGGACACTTAGCATATTAGGCTTTTATTATTTAGGATGATCTATGAAGCACGTATGGGTTAAAGTCATAAACTGGGACAATTATACTCACACTACATTGGAGTCTGAGTAAAAACCATGATAGTATCCCAAACTTATCATGAGGTTTTGGGCCTCCATAGATCCCTGTTAACAGACAGGGCTATTTAAACTAGCTTAGAAAGTTCTTTAAATTTTTCAAGAATGAAAGGCAAGTTCCCACAGAAATTATTTCTAGTGAGTCAGAACCCTTAGAACCAATAAGCTTTTCCTTGTTGATATTTTAATATTGCCTTTATAGTATACTGCCTCTATTTTTTCTTTCTGAAAGCCAGATTGTCTGTATATAATGTATCTATTCTCAGCCTTCCCTTCCTCCACCCTAAAAACTAAATAACCTTACTTTCTATTCATTTGTCTATTTTTTATTCTACTCATCACATTACTGTATTTTATAAGCTCTTTCAATTTCCTGTAACACAATGCCTTTCCTACTGTAGATTCTCAATAGATACTGAATGAATTGAATTGAAATTGCCAACCTCAAAATTGAAAATAGTATTCGAATTAATATTTAACCAAAATAAGTTTCACCTTTCAGAGAAATGAAAACATCTTGCTTTTGTAATAATTAAATTGAAATTATGTTTCCTTTTACAAAACTTTGATGCTTGTCACTTTATGTTTCTTTAAAGCATTTACTTGGTATACATGAAAGTGAAATTAATTTTATTTTACAGAAAAATACAATTTCAGCACCCAGATTTTCAGGGCTTGTGTGAATCAGAATGCTGTTGCTGAACCTAGACCAAAATTGGTTGGGTTAACAATCCTAATTCAATTTCTCTGTGGCAGAGGCCTGTTTGGAGTCATTCTACTTGCTATTAAGGAGGACAAGATTAGATATATAAAGAAATCAAACTATTAATGAACCCAGTACAATATAAATTAATTCAAGGTGGCATGTGTAAGGATAAAGAACCTTCAAAACAATTGCCAAGAATTTTCAATTATTATGTCACCAACTAGAGGCCCAGTGCATGAAATTCATGCACTGCGAGGGAGGGATCCCTCAGCCCAGCCTGCGCCCTCTCGCTGCCCAGGAGTCCTTGAGGGTTGTCCAACTGACAGTTTAGGCCTGCTAGCCAACAGTCAAATATCCTTAGCACTGCGGCAGAGGCAGGAAAGGCTCCCACCACCGCCACTGCACTCGCCAGTGTAAGCCCGCCTTCTGGCTGAATGGCGCTCCCCCTGTGGGAGCACACTGACCACCAGAGAGCAGCTCCTGCATTGAGTGTCTGCCCACTGGTGGTCAGTGCGTGTCATAGCAACCGGTCGTTCTGCCGTTTGGTCTATTTGCATATTAGCCTTTTATTATATAGGACTAGTGGCCTGGTGCATGAAATTCATGCACAGGGGCGGGTGTCCCTCAGCCCGGCCTGCACCCTCTCCACTCAGGGACTCCTCAGAGGATGTCCGACTGCCTAAACCGGCAGTCGGACATCCCTCTCACAATTGGGGCCTAAACCGGCAGTCGGACATCCCTCTTATAATCCAGGACTGCTGGTTCCTAACCACTCACCTGTCTGCCTGCCTGATTGCCCCTAACCACTCTGCCTGCTGGCCTGATAGCCCCCAACTGCACCCCTTCCTGCCTGATCACCCCTAACTGCCCCTTGCCTGCCAGCGTGATCACCCCCAACTACCCCTCCTGCCAGCCTGCTCACCCCCAACCGCCACCCACTGTCGGCCTGCTCACCCCCAACTGCCCCACCGCC